ACTTATATAATTATACCTTAAAGTGGTATCTAAAATCTGCTCCGGAACATCTGGAGACTGCATTCCATGGTCTTCTGTCTTACCAAGTTCTGAAGTTCCTAATGAAGTCTTTGACTCACTTAACTGCTTTTCTTCTTCGGCCTCAGAATTTCTTTTCTCTCCTCCAGGTGTACGCTCTGCTGATACTATATCATTGCTAATGATCTGGAGGAGGAGTCACAATAAATTAGCACATTTACAAGATTCTTTACGAATTTTAAAAAGAGAATCAGAGTGGGGAAAGCCACAAGACTCAAGATGTTCTAATTTCTAAATAAAATGTCATCTACAAACATTAATACTAGAGTTCAAGGAATTTTTCCTTTCCTATTATGAGTCCTGCAAACTACAAATATCAAATCAGGAAAAAATGCTTGAGTGAGGAAAGTACTGGGGGAAATGTCCTTAAAATATTAAGGGATTAGTTCAAATAAATAGAAACTTAAATAATCAGAAGGAGCTCTGGTGGCCTGGTGGCAAGAAGCTACACTGCCATCCTTAAGGCACAGGGTTCAAATCCATCAGATGCTCCACTGGAGAAGGAGAGGCAATCTCCTCCTGTGCCAGTGGATCTGATTTGACGTACAAAACAATGGGGGGAAAAAACCCACAAAACAAACATGGAATCCAAGGGAGTGAACAGGAGAAAAATGGATACAAATATGGTCAAAAGAAATAACCCCATGTTCATATCAGAGTTGGCACAAATTCAGTCCAGTTTCCTCTATCCCCTTTACCTACAAAATCCATTTCAAAATGACATTAAATAAAACACCTTTTAATTTTCTTCAAGATCTTAAACACACATATGTTGAAAGGGCTTCACAGTTTTAGGGATGAGTCTGACAAATTTCCCTCTGAAATAGCATTCAAAATTAACTTTGAAAGGATAGAAAAATACATACTTGTATATCTTTTGAAGGTGCAAGGCTGCAGTTATCACTACTGCTCAGTATCAAACTTGTCTCAGTCTGTTTTGAGATTTCAATCTTCTCTGGTTCATTCTCCCTTTGAAAAGTATTTTTTTCTCTTGCACTTTTCAAATTGGTTTCTTCAGCAGCACTGATATCTTCTGATTCTCTTTCCCTCAAGGAAATATCTCCATTAGGATCTTTCAAATCTGCCTGCATTTCCTCAAAGATACTCATCTTTGCTGATGCCAGGTCCATAAGGAAAATATTTTCTTTTCCCATTTCTCCCAAATCAATCTCTCTCTCTCCTGTGGCACTGGCCTCTTTTATGATATTTTCATCTGAGGAAATCTCTCCTCTGACTTCTTCCAAATCTGTCTCCATTTCACTTATACTACTGACCTCCTTTGGGGCCATTCCCCAAGGGTAAATATTCCTTTCTCTGGTTTCTTCCAAATCCATCTCTCTTTCCTCAGAAACAGTTATCATTTCTGGTATGTCCTGCTTTGGCGAAATCTCTACTGAAGTCTCTTCCAAACCTTTCTCTACTTCACCTACAGTCTTGACTGTCTCTGAGGAACTTTCCTTAAGAGAAATTTCTTTTTCCATTTCTTCCAGATTTGCCTCTTTCTCTTGAGGTGCAGCAGTCATTTTCGCTATTTTCTTCCTTAGGGAAATTCCTCTTTCAGTTTCTTTCAAATCATTTTCTACTTCACTTACAGCCGTAGCATCTTCTGCAATCTTTTCACATGGGGATATTTCTCTTTTTCCAGTTTTCTCTAAATCTGCCTCTCTCTCCTCAGGGTTAGCAGTCATTTCTGCTATACTCTTCCCTAGGCTTATCTCTCTCTCAGTTGTTTTAAAATCTTTCTCTACTTCACCTATAGTCTTAACATCCTCTGGAACCTTTTTCCCTTGTGGAATGTCTCTTTTTTCAGTTTCTTCTAAATCTGCCTCTTTTGCCTCAGGTGCAACAATCATTTCTATTATCTTCCTCCTAGGAGAAATAAGTCTTTCAGTACTTTTCAAATCTGTTTCCATTTCATCTAAAGTTTTTACTTCTTCTAGCGCCTTTTCCAATGGAGATATCGCTCCTTCAGTTTCATCCACATCTGCCTCTCTTTCCTCAGGAGCAGTATTAAAATCTACTATTATCTTTCCAGGAAAAGTCTCTCTGGCAGTTGTTTTCAAATCTTTCTCAACTTCACCTGCAGTTCTGGTCTCCTCTGGAATGATTTCCCATGAAGATATCTCTCTTATTCCAGTTTCTTTTAAGTCTGCTTCTCTTTCCTCAGCAGTGGCAGTCATTTCTGGTATCTCCATTCGTGAAGAAATCTCAGGTTCTTCACCTTTCTCCACTTCACCTGTAGTCTTAACTTCCTCTTGGGCCTGGTCTGTTGAAGGTATTTCTCTTCTAGTTTCTTCCAAATGTGCTTGTCTTTCCTCAGTGGCAATAATTTCTGCTAACTTCTTTCTTGGGGAAAACTCTCCTTCAGTTTTTTCCAAATCTATCTCCACTCTATTTATAGTACTGACTTCTTCCAAGGCCTTTTCCAATGGGAATATTTCTCTTTTTTTAGTTTCTTCCAAATCAATTTCTGCTTCAAGTACATCAATTCCTTCTAATATGTTCTCAGCTGGGGAAATCTCTTCAGTCTCTTTTGAACCTGTCTCCATTTCCATGGCAATGTCAGTAATTTCTGGTATAGTCTCTCTTAGAAAGATGTCTCCTGTTTCAGGTTCTTTGGAATCTTTCTCCATTTCTTTAGTAGGATTCACCTCCATTGATACTTTCTCCCCTAATGAAGTTTCTAGTCTTATAATTTCATTCAAAGTTGATTCCATTTCTCCAGAGGCAAAAGTCTTCTCTGGTTCCTCTTCCCTTGAGAAAACTTGTTTTCTTCTAGTTCCTCTTCCTAGATTTGGTTTTAGTTTCTGGAATCGAGTCCTTACAGTTCGGGATTGTTTGAGTGTATTTGCTTCATTACTCTCTTGAATGCTACAAAAAAAAAAGAGAGATAATCAAATTTTAATCTAGACTGCTATTTGAAGGCATTTATGGATAGGTACAAGTCATCAAAACCTCTCAAAGTGAAAAATAAATTTGGGAAGACTCAGGAGTCTATGTGTAAAATTTTAATAATAAAAGAAAAAAATTACAACATTTGAAACTAAGTAAATTTGACAGTAATTAAATGTATTTCTTTATAGATGTGGGGGGTTGGGGTGTGTGTACATACACAAACAAGTGTTATTATGTATCATTAGTCAGATGCTCTAACAGGTTTTAAGAAATTGTAATTTTTTTTAATTGTCTATTTTATTTTATTTTTAATTGCCTGGGAAGAGATTGCTCATCTCTTTCCTACAGAGCTGCTGGTGGATTTGAACCAAACGCTTTTGGCTTGGTAGCATAACTCTTCATTAATAGAGCACTAGTGATGGAGGAAGCTGCCCATCCTTCTCCTGGGCAGCAGCTGGTGGATCCAAAATGTGTACTTTTAGGATTGCAGCACAGCTTCTTACCACTAGGCCACCATGCTCCTTTTTATATATATATATATAACTGTTAGGTTGTTGTCAGGTGCCATCTAGTTGAGTGCGACTCATGGCAACTTTTAAACAATAGATCTGAACCCTGTCCTAGCCTGTGCCATTCTCACAATCTCCGACATCTTCAAGCCCACTGCTGCAGTCACAGTGTCAATCCACCTGGTTGAAAGTCTTCTCCTTCGTCAGCCCTCTACTTCCCAAGCATGAAGACCCTCTCCAAGAGATACCTACTAATAACATCACACCCATAAGTGGCCTTCAACAGTCATCTTCTAAATGCCTTCCTTACCATCCTGTTCAAATCATGCCTAAAAAAGACTCTCCAGTATTCTGAATTAGCATTTGAACAAGGTCTACCTATTACTTCTCCCTCATTACCTACATACTGCTTTACTCAAACTAATACCTTGTCATAAGTTAAGAAATCACTTACGTGTGATCAAGGTTGACCAAAATCTCAAAAACTGGATGGAGATATGACTTGAATAAGATAGTCTTAAGATCTGAATTAGGACCTTCCTTCTTTGCTATTTAATATAAAACTCTTAAGACTAGTGATTCCATAACACAAACTGGAAATAGAAAAGTACATGAAATAAAGAAGCTTTTGTGGTTTTCTGAATGCTACTGGGCATAGAACCAACCCTCGAGAACAAACACCTTGCTCTAGAAAAACACTGGTCCTCTCTCTCCATATAGCAACTTCTGTTTTGCTTATAATAATGGATGGTGAAACCACTAAAAATAAATAAACAAACGAACAAGTTAAGAGTAGCAAGTTAAGAGAGGTCACTCCTCTTAGAAAAAAGTAGATTAGTAAAGACACTGGACTTATTAAGCAGCATTAGGCTGAACAATTAAGTAATGATACACATAGAGCTTTAAAAAAAAAAAAACACAAAATGTTACAAGAAACTATACTCCAGGCACTAGTCTATTCTTCTTCACAGAAACAACTTTTTAAAAATGCAATTGCAACATAAAGCTAGGAACAAGACTAATTTTCAAGTTGTATTTATTTAAAAACAGGTGTTTATATCTAGCATCAATTTTAGTAACTGACAACATTCAGGGTAAAATTAATATCAGCTAATAAAGAAAATTTCATTATTCCGGGATGGATTTCAAGGAGCCCTGGTGGCACAGTGTATAATGTACAGGGCTGCTGACTGACAGGTCAACAATTCGAACACGCCAGTCACTTCACAGAAGGGGACAGTATCCTTCCATTAAGATCTACAGTCTTGAAAGCCCAATGGAGAGCTGCTTTGTGTGAAAACCAACTTGAAAGCAGTGGATTTTGGTTTAGGTAGATTTCATTCTGTTTTCCAATTTATGATACACTGCATCTTCATCCATAAGCATACAGCTTTTAGTAAGGTTGCTGTGCTAGTAAATTGGAGAGTATAAAATTTATGCATCTCATTGAAACGATAGCTGACCCTCCATTGGCCCTCCAAGGCTATCACTTGAACAGGAGAAGGCTGCCTGTCATTCCTGAACCACCAGAAGCTCTGTCTTTGGGTCAGCAGTGAAGTTCTCATAAAACATTGACATATTCTTTAAACATATAGAAGCTTTAATCAAAGACTTTATTTGTAATTTCACTATGTTATTAGAGTGAAATATGAATAAAGACAAAAGTCAATGATTAAAATTTAAGAAAAAGACTATTATATAAACACCAGTTACAATTTTAAGATACAAATGTAATTATATTCCATGTGCTTAAAACTGTTTTAAGACATTTTTTAAACTGTTTTAAGATATTTAATAAGCTTAACATTTATAGATCAAAGAGAAATAAATGTAACTTCTTAGAGTTCATGAACTGGTCAACAAACATTTCTAAGCAGCTATTCCACCGGAGTCCAATATTAACAGGGCAGGTCATCCCTCAGAGTTTATTTATACCTGCTGCCTAACCAATCAAAGGACAGTATCTGATTTTCGAAATCAGATAAGTAGTTGAACTAAATTACTTCTCAATTTAAAACATACAGAAGATTTTCAACCTTGTCATTCATGGTCTGTGCATGTCAAGCTAGGTATTCCACCTGAAAAGCATGAGAGTGGCTAGGCTTTTGAATGGCATATGCCACTTCTGGAAAATCTATTGGTGATTAAGTACTGCTTTCTTTAAATAACTATCTGATTGTTTTTTAAAGTGTATGTTTTGAAGCCATTCATGTTTTGTTTTACATTACAGGGGGCAAACTGGTGCTAAATATTTTTAAATGGTTAAATGGTCTGACTATAAATCTCATTTCATTATTTGTATTAAGATGAAAGAATGGATGTCAGAACCATTAGTAGAGGAAGAATGGGTTTGGTCAAATAGATCTTTCACGGCCTTGAGCTATCATTTGCTTGAAAGCTTTTAAAGAAAATATGGAAAGATCATTCTGTTGCATTCCCCTATGTAAGAGAATAACAAATCTCAAGCCTTGTGTCTGGCTTATACAGAACTCTACATTTGAACTAAAGATTAAACATGGGGGGAGGGGAAAGACCCATACAGAATATTTAGAAATTCTCTCATAAGATTACAGCAAAGAAAGAAAGAAAGAACAACAAAAGAGAGGAGGATAAACAAAACTGAAGAAGGAACATGGAATGAGTATTAAGAGTGTAAGCCTGCTTTCATGTCCACAACTGTTTTTCCTAAACTATAGGGTTTTAAAATGTATAAAATATTTCTAAACTTCCATAAAACAAATCACTAGCCATGACACAAACCTCTAACTATTTCTATGAAGTGGATATGATGCATTATTAGCCTAAGAGAGTAAGTTTCAAAAGAGTATTTTGAAGGTTCATTTGTCAAAGTAGAATTTTAAATTCATTCTTCATTGTGGCATCACTACCCCTATGATACAACTATCTCTATGCAACATTAGCCCTATGTAACAACAACAACTCTGGGACAAAAAAAAAGTTGTTGAGATCAAACTGGATATTAGTTATAAACAACATGGATTCTAAAATAAAGAACATTTGGGGAAATTTTCTACTGAACCACATAGACTACTTAAATTAGTTTAAACTAAAAAATGTAAGTAAACAATCAAATAACCAGATATCTACAAGTAATATACAAGTAATTCATCAGTGACCTTTTAACAATATGGATTTGAAGTGCATAGGTCCACTTACATATATTTTTCAATAACTATATTGACAAATGTTTACAAATAATGTAGTGACTTATTATGTACTTCTATAAAGCTACACTAAGTATACCTGTCTCTCCTGCCACCTTTTCCATCTCCTCCACCTCGTCACCTCTGCCATGCCTAAGACAAGACCCATCCTTCCTCTTCATCTTCCTCCTCATCCTACTCAACATAAAGATGATTTATTTTTTTAAATGGAGCTCTAGTGACTAAGTGATAAGGATAGACAATATAAATTTATGGTACTGGTAAATACAGTACGATACTGTAATTGTACTTTCTCCACATTATGATTTTCCTAATAACATCTTTTGTCTAGCAATAGAAACAATACATAATGTATATAACATACAAAATATGTGTTAATTGTTTATATTAGCAGTGAGACTTCTGATCAACAGCAGGCTATTAGAAATTGAGTTTTGAGAAGTCAAAGTTATATACAGATATTCAGCTTTCAATGGGAGTCAATTTCCCCAAGCCCCATGTTGGTCAAGGGTCCAACTGCAGTGAAAGATTTATGGCACAATGGAAAAACAGGTTGCTTTCTTGGGCAGAATAAAGGTTATAGGTAAGAAAGAAGGGAGCCAAAGAAAGGGGGAGGAAATAAGGAAGTTTTCACATATTCTAATAAAGATTCTTAAATTAATTCAAGAAACATAGCTTTCACTCTTCAGTTGGGTATCATTTAAACAGACTAATACAACTGTAAGAAAATACAGAATAGACCAAAATATAGATGTACATACAGACATAAAGGGTGGTAAAACAGTAACAACTGCTCAAATGAGGTAGTAGGTACAAAGGAGTCGATTATTCTGTGCACTCTCCTTTACAATGAAAATTGTGCTGTAACCCAAAAGGAGCATTTCTCTGGCAGTTCAGATCCACCAGCAGCTTCACAAGAGATAGATGGGCCATCTCCTCTCATGCAGCTTACAGTCACTCAAACCCTGCTGAAGGGTCAGCAATAAGTCGGTTCCAACTCGACAGCAATGAGTGAGCCTGAGTTCTGAGTCCAGTGATTCCATCAATCTCCATGAGTGCTCTTCAGACGAGAAATAATGACCATAGGGAGCTCTGCTACGATAAGGATGAGTTTTTATATGAACTTTACATAAAATTTATATAAATGTTAAATATTGATGCTGTATACCGTAGAGTCAGAACCAACCCATAGTTGACTCTCCGCTGGGGTTTCAGAGGTGGTTAATCACATGGAAGGACATTGCCCATCCTTCTCCCATGGAGCAGCTAGTGGCCTCGAACTGCATGCCTTTGGGTTTGCAGCACAGCTTCTTATCACTAGGCCACCAGAGCTCCCCAAATGTTAAATAGAGGCAATATATAATCACTCTCATTTCCAAGAAACAAAAATCAAGAAAATCAATGTCATTCTTTGACACAGACATCCAATTTAATATGCACATTAAATAATTATGCTGTCCATGTTACCCAAAACTACAGAGTTGATTCCCACTCACAGGAACCCTGTGGGACACAGAAGTGCCCACTAAGATTTCAATGACAATAAAGCTCCATAAAAGCAGGCTCCCACATCTTTTTCCCACAAAATGTGCTTATGAGGGTTTGAAATGCCAATGTTTGGTCAGCAGCTGAGCACTTAATCACTGTGTCATCAGACTCCTTCTACGCATATTTTAACTCTTACTTTGTTAAGTATGGCACAGGGTTACCCAGGGCTTCATTCTGTTACATAAAGAGTTGCTATGAGTAGAAGTCAACCTGACCACATCCACTTTTCAAATTCCCCATAACTAAGAAAGTAACGTGAGGGCTAGAAGATAAGCAGGATTAAAAAATAAAGTTCTACTGTAAACATTAAGCAACTTCATATACAGATAAAATACCAGTCTAATTATTTTTCCTTTAAAAAATAGATCTAATAATTTTTAAAGCTTTATACAAAAATTAAAAATGTCTTTAGTATTAAGATAAGACTTACCTTACACATTCACTGACATTCATGGGCTCATCCTGTTGCACATTTTGAAAAGATGTATCTTTTTTCTCAGACTGTGATGCAGTATCTCCACAAGCAACAACTTTACATGACTGATCTTCCATTTGCTCAGGAAACTTAATAAAAAATTTTTTAAAAAATTTTAGATTTAAAAAGAAAATAATACTTTTAATAACATTTAACTGCAAATTTTAAACAGTAAGTAAAACAAAAATAACAAATTCCAAATAATAAAAATAATGTCAAAGGACATCTTCTTTTGTTTCTTTCAAGATATCTTAAAAAGTATCTTTAGTTATAACTTTTAATTCAATTGAAAGCCCATTCTGTTCTCCTAATCAGAAAGCAAATAACTGCTAGACTCTAAGATTTATACCATTGACTCTTCTCTCTTGGATTCTGGTAATTATAATAGAAGAAATTCAATCTCAAATGATACCAACTTTTACCCTTATCAAGAAGACTAATATTTATTATGTGAATAAGCATGATCTTTGTCAAATTAAAAGTCAAATTTTCTTTTTAATGCTATTCTGCATTAGGCATTGTTAAAAAGTCATATTTCCAGGTATTTTCAAAAGGAAAGAGTAATTCATTTACTCATTAAATAACAAGAAAAAGATGGGTGAAACTAGATTACCCATTATGTAAATACTACAAACCCAGAGAGCTCAGTTAACTGGTTTTACAATTAGCTATCAAATTTCAGCCATATAGTTAATAAATGACACACACAGAAAAATCATACAATATTGCTGTCATAAAAAGAAGGTAAAGTAGGGTCTATCTTGAGACTAATATTATTAACAAAAAAAGGGGGAGAAATCAAAATACTTACAGCTTTATCAACATTAGGTTCATTTTTCGTTTTTTCTTCACTGGCCCCAAATTCTTGCTGTGATGCTAGAATTTCTTTTCTTTCAGCAACTTTACCAACATTTGGTTTTAGCCTTTGCAATCGGCCCCTTGCTAGTCGTACAGGTCTGGAAGTCTTTGACTGACTATCTTCCTGCAGACAAATTTGTTCACTCAAACTAGAACAATCACACAGATATTGAAAAAAAAAATCAATTATTTATTCAGCATCCATATGCACTCATTATAGTATTTCCTTCTCCCAAATATGAATAAATTAGCCATTAAAAATATAACAGGATTCATATCTTCAAAGGTATTCGGGTAACTCCAATTTCTTTTTTGGAACAGACATGATCTTGAAAATCTAACTATCAAAAGTATTTGTTTGGATCAAAGGTTCACTACAAAATTGAAAAACTCCTTACTTTGGATAAATACTATTGACCAAAGCAACAAGACATAGTGCTAAATACAGTCCATGGTTCAAAACAGAATCCATTTGTTCAGACTCATCCTAAAGTAAGAATGAGATCTTGGAGATCTCCATTCCAAGTTAAACAGTTCCTTTAGAAGCCTCTTGATTCAAAGAAATTATCCAGGAATCTCTCTTTTTTAAATTTCTGCTTTCCCCTATTCAATCTTGGCTGCCACCAGAGGGCAAACAGAAAGCTGCAAGGAACTTTATTATTGCACCTGTGTTGGAAACCCAAACAGGAAAATATCTCTTAATGAGTTATTTAACAAGATTCTGTTAAATTCTTGTTAATGAATTAAGAGAGAAGTATTGCTAATTTAATGAACCCATATCATAATTTCTTCCTATGATTTCAAATACAGAGACTTTCCTTCATGTTTCAACAATATCTATGGCTAAAATGAACAGTGGTACACTAGCTGGAAATAGAGTTCAGAGGGCATCAAGTATAAAACAAGTTATTACACTCATCCCTAAGATTATTTTTCTTTTACTCTCAGAAATACTTACTTAGATACAGTTCCAGCTTCTGTGCTCTCGTTCTCTGAATTCTCTATTCCCAAACTGTCCAAAGTATTAATTTTATCCTTTCCCATAGGATTCTAGGAATTAAAACTTTCACAGTTAATCCACTGATTATAAAAAGTTCAAACAAGTGTAAACTAAAATAATATTCATTGTTTGTACTATTAATTAAAAGAGAGTTTAAATATGCAAAATACAGAGGTGAATGTGTTAAAACAAGTAATTTTATACATGAATGATATAGGTACAAATTAGTAAGTCTTAAGAATATTCACACATTGGCGAGCTCTGGTGGCCTAGTGGCAAGAAGCTGCACTGCAAGCTCAGAGGTGCACTGTTCAAATCCACCAGATGCTCTGCTGAAGAAGGAGGAACAATCTCCTCCTGTACCAGTCAATCTGATTTGACGGTACACACATAAGAGAAAAAAAAAGAATATTCACACTCTTTGACCCAGTTAATACAAAGAATCTATTCTAGAAAATAATTACAGAAAAGTATTCAAATATTTATGTACAAGGATATTTACTGGAACATTATGTAAAACAGCAATGTATTTGGACAAAATTTTCATTAGCAAGTAAATGGTTACATAATTAGATTATATCCACATAAAACCGTAACTTTAAAATTACTGAAAATAATGCTTTCAAAAAATTATTCATGGCAGGGAAAGGCATTTATGAAATTTTAAGTACTAAAGCAGGTTACAAAGTGAACTAATACTACAATGCATTATTTTTAAAAAGGATAAAAGATTACTAAAAGATTAGGTGGATCTGGGAAATTACAAGCACTACTTCAGTGTTACATCAATGTATAATTTTAAGTTTTCTAGAATTAAAAAGAACTTATAAGACTACAAACTACCACAACGTATAAAAAAAAATTTAAACAGTTTAAGGAAAAGAAAAAAAAACTATCACACATATACGTAACTACCTAACTCATTGTCATCAGGTCAGAATCTTCGCATAACTGAATCTCCAGCAGATTTTTTTAGGAGATTGTAAATCCCAAAGGAAGAGACTGACCCATCTTTCTCCCACTGAGCTGCCAGTGGATTCAAATTGCCAGAAAGGTGTCACCTTTATTTAGGTTAGCAGCAAAACTTTCTATGGACTATGCAACCAGAGTTACACACATATCCACAATTATACCAATACATAACGTACATACATATACACAGGGCACGCTGGGCATATGCTACTTCCTATAACTGCTGAGGGGAGCTCTGGTGGCCTAGTGAATTTGAATTGTCCTACCAACCCATAGGCAGGCGGTTTGAATCTACCAGACGTTCAGAGGAAGAAAGATGGGCAATCTCCTTCCATGCAATTTACGGTCTCTGAAAACTGACTGGAGGGTGACCTAGGGCTTCAGACTTGACAGCAATGAGTAGAGTGAGTGAAAACGGCTGAATGTCAACCAATTATTTTTGGTTGATAGTGAGTCTATTTATTGCTTCCATTTTCTTTCGAGGCTTCCAGCATCATTCAATTTCCATTTCAACGTCTATAAAATTCTCCAGTATTGAAATTTAAGGCTTGAATTCTTTCTTTCAGCTTAAGAAGTGTTAAGTGTGTTCTTCTCCTTTGGTTAACCACCTCCAGATTTTTACAAATTTCATTATAATACAGTATTTTTTTTTTGTTTTGAGTCACCCTTCTGCATATCCCTAGTTTTTAAAAATAGCTTGAATAAAAAATTTTTCTCAGTAAACAAAAGATAGATTTAACACCCCTTGGAAAAAATTATACTAGCTTCTAAAGAGATATACAAATGAGAAACTAATAAGAAAAAATTCTTAATTAACTATGTAAGTTCTTGTATCTTTGTTTTAATAGCCATAGTAATACTTCTAAGTACAAGCTGAAAATTTTATTTCTAAAAGATATTTTACTTCATACCTTTTCAATTGAAGTTTCTGGATGAGAACTCTTATTCTCAGTATCTGTTTTTCCTTGTGAGATAGCTGGTTTCTTCCCAACTGCTCTTGATAAATTGGGTTTAGGCCTCTGGAGTCGTCCTCTCACCTTAGGTTTAAGATTTTCTGTTTGATTCGTTTCCCTAAAAAATTAACACCATAACATTAAAGTTATATCTAACATGCAATTAGGCAAAAATTAATTTTTTTTAATTCTACCAAACTACTATCCCAGTAACAATAGCAAAGTTCAACATGCCAGCAAACAGCAAATGCTGATGAAAAGATTGGAACTCTTATTTACTGCTGGTAGAAATGTAAAATGGTACAACCACTATGGAAGGTGGTCTGGTGCTTTCTCCAAAAGGTGGAAATAAAGATGGCATTTAAACCAGCAATTCCACTGCTAGGAATATACCCTAAAGAAACCAGAATTTCAACCCAAACAGATGTATGCACACCTATGTTTACTGCTGTGTTATTCACAATAGCAAAGAGATGGAAGCAACTCAAGTGCCAGTCAATAAGTTAATGGATTGAAAAAATATGGTATAGTCACACAATAGAATACGATGCCAAGGAACTCATAAAATATTATACAACATGTGTAATACTGGAGGACATTATACTGAGTGAAATATCTGTAACAAAAGGACAAATACTGTGTAACACCACTGTTATAAAATAGGACTGACATGGGGGTTGAGGGGTAACAAAGAAAAGAGAGGATAAATAATGAACATTGCATTGGAACAGATGAAGGAAATAACTATTTAAAAGGAGTATATGATTAGGCCCTTTTGATTTTCTGACTCTAGCTCCTCGCACATTTCATTGTAGTATTTTGCTTTGTCATTCCGAGCAGCCTTTTGGAATCTTCTGTTCAGCTCTTTAGTATCTTGAATTCTTCCTTGTGTTTTGGCTTCTCTACACTCCAGTGCAATCTTCAGAGTCTCTTCTGACATCCATTTTGGTCTTTTCTTCCTCTTCTGTCTTTGTAATGACCATTTGCACTCTTCCTGGATGATACCTTTGACATCTTCCCACAACTCATCTGGTCTTCACTCATTAGTGTTCAAGGCCTCAAACCTGTTCCTGAGATGATTCTGAAATTCAGATGGTATGAAATCAAAGTCATATTTTGGCTCCTGTGGATTTGGTTTAATTTTCATCAGCTTCAGCTTGAACTTGCATATGAGTAATTGGTGGTCTGTTTCACAATCAGCCCCCGGCCTAGTTTTCACAGCTGATATTGAGCTTCTCCAGCGGTTCCTTCCACAGATGTAGTCGATCTGATTCCTATACATACCATCAGGTGAAGTCCATGTGCATAACCTGCGTTTGTGTCTCTTATAAAATGTATTTGCAATGAATAAGTCATTGATTTTACAAAATTCAATCATTCTATCTCCAGCTTCATTCCTGTCACCAAGCCCATGTTTTCCGACTACTCATTCTTCTTCACTGGAGAATTGTGGCATCAGGATTGGTGGAAGATCAATTAACAATCTGCGTTATGCAGATGACACAACCCTGCTTGCTGAAACTGAGGAGGACCTCATGCACTTGCTGTGAAGGGTCAAGGACTGCAGCCTTCAGTATAGACTGAGGCTCAATGTCAAGAAGACAAAGATTCTCCCCATGGGACCAACTGGCAGCATCAGGATGGATGGTGAAGAGATTGAGATTGTACACAGCTTCAGTTTGCTCGGCTCCACAGTCAACATTCTTGGCACCAGCAGTCAGGAAATCAAAAAGCGTATCGCGATGGGAAAATCTGCTGTTAGGGACCTCTCTAAAGTACTCAGGAGCAACAGTGTCTCTCTGGAGACTAAGGTGCGCCTGATACAGGCCATGGTATTTGCAATCGCTTGTTAGGCATCAGAGAGTTGGACAATGACTAGGGAGGACAGAAGGAGAGTGGATGCTTTTGAGCTGTGGTGCTGGAGAAGGGTACTGAATGTACCATGGACTGCCAGGAAAACAAACAAATTCATCTTGGAGAGGATTAAACCAAGCTACTCCTTGGAGGCAAGGATTCTGGGGCTTCGTCTGACATACTTTGGACATGTTGCCAGGAGGGACGGGTCCTGGCAATGAAACCATACAGATGACAAATAATTATTTGAATCTGCATCTATTAGCTAGTAATTTTGAGCATTATGGATACATCATTATATTTATTCTTGAAATGGAGTCTTTAAAATAAAATAAAAAGCTTAAATTCAAGCTCACTGCCAACTTGATGGCAGTGACCCTCCAGCAAGTTCTCAAGAGGCTATAAATGGTCCAGGAGGAAACTGGCCTTCTTTCTCCCACAAAGGAGCTGGTAGATCTGAACTGCTAGAGAGGCACCATTAGGTTAGCAGCAGCAGCTCCCTACAGTTTAGGCTACCAGAGCTCCCTACTCAAAAGTTTGGAATTCTGGTATCTTTGGCATATATTCCCAGAAGCAGGACAGCTGGGTCAAATGGTATTCCTATTTCCAGTTGTCTGAGGATGCAATACTGTATTCCACAGTGGTTGCAGCATTTTACATTACCCCCGGTAGTGTATAAGAATTCCGATCTCTCTGCATTCTAGTCAACGCTGCTGTTTGTTGCCCTGCTGAATTTTGTTCTTGTTGCTGGGGTAAGGTAATTATTTTGATTTGTAGCTCTCTAATAGTTAGCAATTTGGAGCATTTTTTCATGTTTGCTGGCCATCTGACATTCTTCTTCAGTGAAGTTTTCTAGTCATCTCTTCCGCCTATTTTGAGATTAGATCCTCTGCCTTTTTTCTTATTGATGTGCTGGCATATTCTGTATACCTTAATGATCAGTCAGCTATGTAACTGGCAAATATATTCTCCCTAGTCTGTGGCCTTCCTTTTTACTCTGTTGGAGAAGTTTTTCTGATGTACACAAGGATCTGATTTTTGGAAGATCTCTTTGATCTATTTTATATTCTCCTGGGCTGTAGGTTTTTAGCTATGCTTAAAAGTCTAATCATGTCATATATTAGAGCTTCTAATTTTTTTCCTATTTTTTTTTGTCACATTCACAAAATGGAACACTATAAAGCATTAAAAAATAATGAACTCGTGGGGTTTGTGGAGGTGCGGTGGGATTGTGTACCAATGAGGGAGTTTTTCTTTTGCTTTTCAAGGAGAGGAGCAAGGGGGGGGGGGTTTGTGCGGGGAGAAGGGTGTAACAATGAATGAATGGAATTCCAAAATCTCTGTAGATGTTCACTGAAATGAAAAATAAACAAACTAAATTAAAATTAAAAAAAAAATAATGAACTCATAATACACTACACAATGTGGATGAGTCTGGAAGACATTATGCTGAGTGACATGTTTCAGTCACAAATGGACAAATACTGCATAAACTCATTATTGTAATATTAGGATTTAGATGGGAGCAGAGAAGAGCAGGAAAACAATGAACGGATAACATATACTACAATGGGATGAAAGAAAGGAATGAATAATTAGAAACCATGTGTACGACAGTTAATAATCTTACAAGAGAAATTGGGGTGAATGAAGGAAAGTGTGTATGAGTGAACAAATACAATTTTTTTTTTTAAGTTTGGGACTGATGATAGAGAAAAGTTGACAACATAAAAATGAAATCATTAGGTAAGTCAAAAAGTCAAACTATAAATTGGGAAAGCATGTTGTGCAGTCCACAACAGAAGGCTACCACCCTATAAAGTGATCGTAATAAAACTAAAATTTCATAGTAAATATTAGGCTTCCAAGATCAGAGTAATGGTACAAACAAGTCTCAAAAATGAAATGCAAATGGGTTTTTTAATGTGAAGACATGTTACTATATATTTAATTTGCTTACGTGATGTTTTGCTAGTTATATATTTACCAGAATTTAAAAAATAAATTAAAAAGTGTGAAGCACTGTACAACAATGTTCATAGCAACATTATTCACCATTGCAAGAACATGAAACAGGCCAAATGGCCAACAACAACTGAAAAGACTGAGATATTGTGTTACGTTCACACAATGGAATACTATGCAGCACTCAGGAGCAATGATTTCAAAAAATACTACACAACTTGAAGATACTGAAAAGCATTATCATAAAAATAGAAGGATAACTAGTAAAACAAGTATGGGGACCTAAGCAGGGAAAAGGTGGAAGCAGAGGGGTAAGGATGGGTAAGGGTGAAACCACAGAGTTGCACAGTTTGGTTCATGGAGGGAAAGGGTGAAGGAAATGGGAGGGATCAGGGAGGGACCTGAGAAGACTGGGTAATGATTGGCAAGGTCCAATGGTGACTGATTTTATAAAGCATAATGCATGAGCGTAATTGTATGAAACACAATATGAATGAAGGATTGTGTGAAATATAATGTATACAAACCGTAAGCAAACCAATATCAAATAAAGCTTAAAAAATAATGTGAAACATTCCTTAAGTTCATGATTGTAAAAAATATGCAAAATAAAACTAGACTGAGATGAAGAGAGAGCACCTGAGTCTAAATCAACTCATGACAGTGGGTACATGGCAGAGATTCCTAAAAGAAGCATTAATATCATTTTAAAATTTATAAAAAGTTTCAAACTCTAGCCATAGTAAAAATATATCAGTAAATCCTACCATACAAAACTTACAATGACTTCTTATTTAGGTCAACATTTGTTTCTTCTGTACAACTTTCAGTATTATTCACTTCAGACAATACTCTACTGGTTCCAGCTTCTGAGGGTGGCAAATTTGAAGTGCTACATTCTGCAGACTGGGTTGATAGTGACATGGTATCTTGTTGGTTACTAAGGAAATGAAAACATATCAAGTGAAAAAGTCTAGAAATAGTTTAGAGTCTAGAAATAAACCCATACATCTATAGTGAACTGATTTTAAACAAGAGTGCAAAATACATTTAATGGGAAAATACTCTTTCATAAATGTGCAAGGATAGCCAAATTTTCCCATGTAATCATGAAAACTAAATATGTACGTCATGCTACATATAAAAACGAACTCAAAATGGATCATGGACCTCAAAGTGAGAATGAAAATTCTTAGAAGAAACAACAAAGATAGTGCCTCGCACTCTAGTTTTAAATAAAAGATTCACAGCTATGATACCAAAAACATACACATCAAAACACAAATATTATCACATTAATATCTCTAAAAAAATTTTTTTCAACCAAAAGCGTTATTAGCAAAGTGAAGAAACAATATCTAGACTGGGAGAAAATTCTCCTGTAATTTATCAAATACAGACCTAAGTAAATCATTAAATGAGCAATTAATATGAATAGACATTTCCTCAAAAAGAAACAAATGACCAAATAAGAACATGAAAAGATGTTCAGCATCATTAGTCACTAGAGAAATGCAAATCAAAACCAATGAAAGAAAACTCTATTCCCTCTAAGTCTAAAACAACAGTTGATGGCAAGAATATGGAGAAATGAACACTCATCCACTGCTTATGGGACTATAAAATGGTACAGCTACTATGGACAGTAGTTTAGCAGTACCTAAAAAAAAAAAAAGGAAATCAAATCTACATAATCAAACCATATAATCTAGCAATTCCACTCCTATGCCTACCCAAAATAACTGAAAACAAGAACACAGCTGAATATGCACCAAAGTTCACTGCAGCACTAGCTCCAATTTCCAAAAGGTGGAAACAATCTAAATGTTCCTCAACAAATTAATAGTAAATAAAATGTGGCTCATACATATAATACAACTCAAATAAAGAGAAATTAAGTCTTGGTACATGCTATAACTTGGATGTGTGACACAAAAAGACAATGATTGCATGACCTCACTTAAAAAACAAATCTCAAATCAACACTGTTAGTCAGAAACAACTCATAGCTAACCAGTCATTCAGCAGGTTTTCAAAGGCTGTAAATATTACAGGAGGCAACTGCCCATCTTTTTCCTTTGGAGCAGCTTGTGGATTTAAACTGCCTATCTCTGGGTTAGCAGCGCGACTCCCTACCTATCAGGCCACAAGAGCTCTTATGACATACCTAGAATAGCAAATATACAGAAACCAAAAATTTTTAGCCATTACCAGGAGAAAACAGGAGGCAGGAAAAAAAATAGCCTTTGTTTTGGGGAACCAACCTTTTTTTAAAGGTGTGGAAAATTTGGGAAATAGGTACTGATTATGGTTGCACAACATGGTGAACACAGTAAATTCAATAAACCATGTATGTACAAAATATTAAGACAGTCAATATATACGTCAGAAAACTAAACATCACACAATGATAAAAGAGTTCTTTCACTAAGACAAAAAAAGTCCTATGTGTATGTGTTGAACAAGAAAGTTTCACAAAGCAAAAAGCAAGAGAACTAGAAATATAAACATGCAGATCTACAATCATAGTTGACACTTCAGTATTCTCTGAATAAAGCCAGTATAAAGTAGAAAATACCTTGATGGAAGGAAATGGTCTGTTTTTTTCTCAATTTCTTGACTAGAGGGTAAGTCTTCAATGTCATCTGGGTCCTGTACACTGGAAAGCTTCTGTTCGCCGCTACATTCACCTTCATTTACCTCTGGCCTTACAGACTCACATTTACCTATGAATTCAAATATGTGTCATTTTTAAAAAATGACAGCCATTATCTCTTCAATTATTTTTTTTAAAGCATAAAGGAATTTATATACTGTACTGCCTTTTTCGACAAAGGAATAATTCATTCAACGTGCAAGTTCTTGTACATAAGATATGCATCTTATCTTAAAAAAATAATAAATCCTTAATCAACTTTTTGTACTTTAAGAAATAACCTAATATTCATATGGCAGTCTGGAGACTTTGCCTTTTATCTTGCTTAAATTTTAGTTTATTAAATTGAGCTATTTCATATTTAGTAAGGCAACAAAATGTGTTTGGCTGTACATCTAATCTTTCAGAAGTGTCCTAATTATCATAGTAACAGCTCTCATTTATTACATGCTTACCAAGTGGTAGAAATGCTGATAAATCTTTCTAATGCATCAACTCATGAAAATATTGATATTAAAAGGTAATAACTTATTCCTATCACAGAGAAGAGATTTTAAGTTATTTGGTAACAGTTAAATACATTTAGAAAGCAATTTAACTGGATGTAAACTAATTTCAGGTCTGTTTTATGATGATGTTCCATTTATATATGTATTATCCCTCAATAGTTGTTGTAAATACCATAATGCTTATAAAGCGCACACACACACATAAATACTCAGAATTGCTTATTAAAAAAACTTTAGTAAAAAAAAAAATAACATTGATGACTAAGAACTATATGAATCTATAGTAAGGTTGTTTTGGTCTGCTAGTATTATTCTCTTTATTTGGTTATCTACTCTAAGTAACACACAAAGTAAACTTTTAATGGGAAAGAAACTCTTAGCATTCATCCTATAGCTACTTAAAAGGTCAGTATGTCTGTTGTCTAAGGGAGTAAACACAGAAAATAAGAGGAATATTCATTCTGATAGCTCTTCTTATAGAGATTAAACACGTCACTGTGAGTTCAGAGAGGTGCTTTGTAAAGGTAAAACATCTGCTATTAATAAACAGAAGCAACATATATTTAAACTACCATGTATGACTTAATTATTGTCAGTGGAAGTACATCTTAGAAACAAATTTTAAGGAAAAAAATCTCCCTATTTCACTTGGATTTCTTTTACAAAGTTAAAAACAATCATGCTTAACTGTACCATGAATACATAACCAATCAATAAACTTTAATAGCTACAATCTAGAAGAAAATATTTACATTCTATCACATATTGTATAAATCTTCTCAAGGAAGGGATGAGCGTTATAAATGTTTATTAAAAAATCAAATAAAAAAACCTCACTTTTGTGTTTTTCTCCTTTAGGGCCTGATGGAGCACAGTCATCTTCCAAAAGATTTCCTACTTCTTGCTCTTCAGTTTTATCTTGATTCCGCCGTCTACTTTTCTTTTGCCTTAGGTTTGATTCTAATGTAATCTGGGCTGAATCTTGTGATAAAGTTAGAGATGGCTGTTCTTCAGTTGTCTGAATATCCTTTTCAAGCTCTTCTGTGTCTGAAATTTTAGTACTCACAGACTCATCTGGACCATCATTCACTATTTCACTGACAACTTTCTTCGCTGAAAACAAAAGAAACAGTTATGAATTTATAAATAACCTAAAGAAACATTCTTAAAATTGGAGAAAACAAACATTTCTAGGGCCTTTAGTATTGAAGACATACTAATATTCATGTCAAATGAGTAAATCAATTATGTTCAGAAAAACAACTAGAGTTCACCACAGAAACATTTTTCCAGGAAAAAGCAAGATTAACTTCATGGCTAATCAAATATCTTCCCTAAAAACCATTTATTAAAGAAAGACAGTCTCTTCAATAAACGAAGCTGGAATAAGATGATCTCCACAAAAGATCAATAAGAAAGCCCAATCAAAACAACTATGAGATATCATCTTACCCCAGTAATAATAGCAAAATTTAACAGAACAGCAAGTTAACAAATGCTGGAAAGGTTGTGGAGAAACTGGAACTTTTATTCACTGTTGGTGGAAGGGTAAAATGGTGCAACCACTGTGGAAGGCGGTGTGGCACTTTCTCAAAAAGCTGCAAACAGAAATACCATTTGACCCACCACTACTGTAAATTTAACTTTATGGCAGCAGACGGCATTCTTTCCTTCGAGGACCATGACCAGCCCTTAGCAACAAGAGGTTACTTGGAGATCCAGTACCCATGAAAATAGGGACAGGAGGGTAGTCCCTAAATCTGTAAGGGACTGACGGAAATGTATACATTGTTGAATCTAATATCCTAATTTCCTGTGTGAACTGAATTCTAGAAAAAGGCTTAGAATATTAGGGATAGTTGATTAAATCAAGACTAGAACTCAGGTGCACCCACTATGGAAGGCAGTATGGCACCTTCTCAAAAAGTTGCAAAGAGAGATACCATTTGACCCAGCAATTCCACTATTAGGAATATACCCCAAAGAGATCATGAATGCCACCCAAGCAGATATACACACACCCATGTTTATCGCGGCTTTGTTCACAATAGCAAGGGGTTGGAAACAACCTAAGTGCCCATCAACTAACAAATGGATAGGGAAGCTGTGGTATATTCACACAATGGAATACTATGCTGCATTGAAAAACAAGGAACTCATGCAATATTATTCAAAATGGGTGACCCTGGAGGACATTATGCTGAGTGAAGTATCCCAGACACAAAAGGACAAATACTGCATGGTGCCACTGTTAAAAAACAGGACTGACATCGGGGTTGGGGGGAGACTGAGGAACATGGGTTCAATAATGTATACTGTATAATGTATTCAATAATGAGGGAGAGAACTGTTTAAAAGGGGCATGTGATTAGGTATTATTGTCATGACAGGAGTCCAGAACGAAGGCTGCATAGTGAAGTGGACCTGGGGGAGGGATTGTAAAAAAAATGGGGGAACTTTTCAAAGAGTGTACTGGGGGAGGGGAGGGCAGGGAGAAAAGTGCAACAATGAATGAATGGAAATTCAAAGTCTCTGTAAATTTTCATTAAAATTAATTTTTAAAAAGTTTAAAAAAAAAAAAAAGCCTAAAGCCCAAGTTATTCCTACTACTCAGAAGAGCATATTCAATATTTTTCACCACTGATAGAGAAATGCAAATCTAAAACATGAGCTAGTACCACCTCACACTCACTAGGATGGAGGTTACCAGAAAACAGACATTATCGAGAGTTAGAAAGGACATAGGGGAAAAGGAAACCTTTTCCAGGGAGCTCCACTGAACTAGTGGGCAGGGAGTTGCACTGCTAAACTAAAAGCTACATCTCTCTGATGGTTTGAAACCACTGTGTCCCCAGTCGAAAAAAGATGAGCTAGCTCTTCCCGTTGGAAACACCCGCCCCCACCCCCCGCCACTGGAGGGTCAGGTATGAGCTGGCTCCAACTTAGTGGCAATGACCTTGAGCCTGAGTTTGTATCTGGGTATTACTGCCAAGTAAGGCTTTGAATCATGCTGAAGTGGTTCAGTCACACATTCAAATAATACAAAATAGGGTAGATGATTATCTCCTACTCAAGTCAAAATTCAACATGCAAGAAATCTGACTATTTCACTGCAAAGTGAACTAGGAGGGGGAAGTGAGGGATAAAATGTGCAACATGAACGACTTAAAAAAAAAAATAGAAAGCTGTCTGTTACGCCAACTTGTGTCTTCTGTGTCTCCTTAAGATTCAACTATTTCCAAATGGTTCAAACCACTGCTGGTAAGAATGCAGAATGGTCAACTCTTGAATGGAAAAACAAATTACTTTGTAAACTTTCACTCAAATTACAATTGAAAAAGATAGTAGCATTAACAAAAAATGTAAAAAAGGTACAACACTGCAGAAAACAGTTCGGTGGTTTCTCAAATATGACATAGTAATTCCATTCTGATATACCCAAGAGACCTGAAAGCAGACAACACAACAATTATGTATACACCAATTATAAGAATTATTATAGGATTATTCACAATACCTAAGAAGTAAAAAACAAAACTGTAAGATGACAGAATAAATAAAATGTGGTACAATGTCTTATTTAGACGTGAAAAGTAATGAAGACCTGATACATACCACATAAATGAACCTTGAAAGCATATAATTAATGAGTGAAGTAACTCAGACACAATAAGCCATTCTGAGGGACCTCCCTGACACAGGTTATCTAGAATAGGCAAATGCACAGTGCTATCAGTTTATTAAGGTTATGAGAGACTGCAGAGAGAAGAGATCCTACTTAAGGAAACGTAGTTTTGGTTTGGGGAGAATATATAACTTTTGGAAATAGATATATGCTAGCTCTAATTAAAATCACTAGATTTTTACACTTGGAAATGACTGACCTGATACACTCTGGGTTATATGCATATATACACATATAAACACAAATCTAATCATAAAAGAGAATAAAATACACAAATTTACTTTTGTTTTAAAAATACATTTTTCAGTTCGTGCCCACCCAGGGACACACACACACACAAAAATACATTTTTCTCTGATGGCCTAGTGGCAGGAAGCTGCACTGCAATCCCAGAGGTTTGATGTGGTTCAAATCCACAAGATGTTGTTCTGCTGGAGAAGGATGGGCAATCTCCTCCTGTACCAGTCAGATCCAATTTGGAGGTATACAGAAAAAAATAATCAAATTTTTTTAAAAAATATATTTTTATGACTTTAGTGAAAGTTTAGAGAAAGACTGAATTTTCATTCATTTATTGATACACACCACTTTTTCCCCCCCAAAAGAAAATCAGGATAAGATTCTGAAACTGAAAAAAATGAGATCTGATTTATTCTGTAAAAAACCTACCAGGAATTTTAGAATTGTCAGACTTGTAATACTTTCTCTGAAAGGCACTTACAAAAAATAAATACAATGTGTTATGTTAACATCTATAACAGATAAATGACAAGAATTAATATATCTATCCCCATCTCCTAAGGCTAGAGAAGGCAAGTAAAATAAAATTGGCTGAAAATGAAATGGCAGTTATTGAGACATCAGAAAAAAGAACTCTAGGTTGATTCTGTGTGCGAAAGAGCACAGCAAGCTGGACTGTTAACTCTTGAATTTCAGCTTATACAGGTGGGTAGTATCAGAGAATTTGATTGGGAGAGCTCCCACTTACTCTTAACTAATGAAAGTGTCTCACTGCCCCTGAACTGTACAAATAACACGGTTTACACTCAACAACTGCTTTCCTCTGGCAAGTCTGAAATTCTTACTTATGCTGAGGCAAAGGCTGTATATATGAACTCACTCACTACTGCAGTCAGTTCCTAGCCACAGTGACACTCCATTGGGTTTCCGAGGCTGCAGAGTTTAACAGGATACTGCTGGTCTTTCTCCCTCAGAGCCACTAGTGGATATGAACCACTACAAGTGTGTGGCCTTTTGGTTAGCAGCACAGCACACTACAGACTATACCAGCAAAATATGTAAACAGTTCCGAAAAAAAAAGCTTAAAATAAGGATAGCCCCTATTTCACAAGTTGTTGCTGGACTTTGGTATTAGAATTAAGTACATCCTATGACTTCACTGATGGAAAATCCTTAAAAGCTTGGGTCTGGCTTCCCCTGGCGTTCATTAGATGCACCTTTCACTTCTGCTGTTTTGTTGTTTATCCTTTTGCTGTAATAAATATTTACCATAACTGCAGCTGCAATATGCTGAGCCTTGTGAATTCCCTACTGAATTACTGAAACTGGGGGCAGTATTGGGGATCCACAACACAGGCTCTCTTACTCCTTGATTTCATTCTAAATGCAACTACTAATAATCCAAGAATTCAAAGCAGACAAATTATCTATCTATCTATTTATCTATCTAACTCTCTCTCTCATAAAAAAGAAATTCATTGTAATTTGCTTGTTTTTTAAAAAATTACTTTTGTTTAGAAAGAAATATCAAAATAAGATTCTGAAATTGAGATAATACTATTTATTCTGAGGGGCTGGTTCTGTACAATGAAAACAAATAAAAAAGGAGGTAAAATGTAGACTACCCTACATACAAGGTTCCCTGAAGTTCCAAAATCATGACGGTTAAAAATTATAAATTCTTAATAGTTCAGTATTAAGGAAACATAAGCCTAAAAACCTAAATAGCTTCATATATACTATTTTCTACATGTTGATATTAATCTTTATAAATAAGCTATGCTTAAACAATATTCTCTAGTGCAACTTCAAAATACTTCCATTTTTTCCCTAATACTAGGATTTTGAACTAGGTTTTTTTTGTCCTAAGAGGAAAATGATGATGAATAATAAAACATGACAAATGAAACTAAAAATCCTGATTCTCCTTTATTAGCTACAACTGTGCTAAAAAAATCTTAAAAAAAGTGTAGTCAGAATGCTGCTTCAAAGGATGGTGAGAGTTAGTCTCATATACACTGGCCATGTTATCAGGAATAACCCATTCCAAGAGGAGGGCATCACAGTAAAATAGAGGATCACTGAAAACAGGGAGACACAGTGGCTGCAAATTGTGAGGATGTGCTGGCCAGGCAGTGTCTCATTCTCCTGTGCACAGGGTAGCTGCATCAGAACCATATGAAAGCACGTAACAATAACAACATGTTCTATGTGGTAGGAAGACATTAAATCGGCAAGCCAAGTAAATGATAAAATTTGTAAGGGAGATGCTATTTTGGCCTAGATAACTAGACTGAAGAAAAACCAGTTACATCCAATGAGCACTGAAAGATTTGGGGGATAACATTATAATCATATACAAGTTAAAGGGGCAAATTCTTTTAAAATAAATACCTTTAACATTTTTCCGTGGTTTGGAGGGTTTCTTCTCCTTTGAATTGTTACTTTTAACTGATTTTTGTTTTCTTTTCTCTTCTTCAGCAAGAACTTTCTGAAGCAAATGAGCAAAAAAATCGAAGTCAAAAGCGCGCTTTTCCTCTGTTTAAAAAAAAGAAAACAGACTCTCAAGTTTTGATTTTTAAAGTATTAAAGATCAAAAGCAAATGGATGTGTCTATTATGGGAAAATAACTCCATACACTGTAGTACAGTCACACAAGAAAACACCCCTCAAAAATACAAAAAAAAAAAACCCAAAACCTACTGTCATAGGCAACATGTATGAATCAAGAAAATGCTGAGTGAAAGAAGACGACAAAACAAGAATACCTAATACATATATTAGACTTTCAAGAACAAATTCATGTGTTATTGTTGGTATATGTTTTTGAGTTGGAACCGACTCATAGCTGACCAGCCAGCAGGTTTTCAGAGGCTGTATATATTGCATGGGAGGAGACTACCCATCTTTCTCCCAATGAACAGCTGATGGATTCAAAACACTTGTCTGCAGTGTAATTCCTCACCCACTAGACCACCAGTGCTCCCTAAATAAATGTAAGACAACTCAAATGAAAATAGTGGGTATTTTGGAACAGGAGAACAGTGATGGATATTAACTAGAAAGAGGGGCAAAGGGATCTTGCTGGGCTATATAGGAAATGTCCTATAACTTGTTTTGGTGGTGGTGGCATGGTGATAACATTTGTCACTAAAACTCATCAAATCATACAATGCATTGTATGCAAATTATAAATAAATTTTAAAATTAATGGTCAAAGGTGTCTCAGGTCCTCAAAAAGTTTGCTTAGACTGCCTCTTCAGAAGTTCCTAATAAAGTACAATATTTAATTTTTAAATTGTTACAAACCACTGAAATCACTGAATTTCAAATAAAGCAATTAAAATGACTTTATTAACAGATTCACAACTCAAAATATTTATGGATCCTTTCCATATATCTGTAAGATTGTGAATTATCCTTTCTCAATCTCCACTTTTTAAACATAATTTTTTCTAAAAGTTTCAGGATCACCACATCTCTTAATTAGAAACTGTTAAAACACAAATAACCTAAAATGGAGAATAGTGTAGATCACAATATTACAGATCTTCCAATAATTATTCCTAAAAGTGGTTTCCGACAACAATGAATGAATGAAAACCCAAAATCTCTGTAAAATGTTCATTAAAATTAATAACATTTAATAATTTTTTTAAAAGTGGTTTCCCTAAGCAACTAGTATAACACTGAGAATGATAAGGTTCATTCATCTACCTTAGCGTCTATTCATAAAATGAGTATACATGTGAAATTCTATTTAAATCTTTTCTAAAACTAAAACTGTTAAATGAATATATAATATTTTTATTAATTATAGAACTCTTACAATTATAACCAATCAAAACTCATTGCCATCACGTTGATTCCAGCTCATAACCCTACAGGGGAGAGCAGAACTGTCTTATAGGGCTCCCAAAGCTGCCCACATATTATCTGTGAAGCACCAAGATTTCAAATGCCAAACTCTGAATTAACAATTGAAAGCTTAACCATGGCATCAACAGAAGTCCTTTTGATAATTACAGGTCTATTTTAAAAAGCATATCTTCCAAAAACCACAGAAGCCACATAAACAGTACATTTAATTTGAGTCTTTTTTAATATAAAGATTCCCCTAAGGCTTTCTCTGCAAAAAGAGACAAAAATGTTATGACAACATTAAAAGCTGAAAGGTATGCATCACTCTTGAAATCATGTGTAAATGAGACTATTACCTCTTTAGACTTTCCTGACAATGCAATAAAAATGCCACTTGAAAAAAAAGGTACTATTTTCCTCTTAGAAATGAGTCACAGTCTAAAAAACATCTGATCAACTGTATATCTTCCATCAAATTAGACTTAAGACTACAAGCAAGATTCTCATTTCCCCTGCTCATTACAGAAGGTAGGCTGTGTTGCTGACTGAAGGAATGACTGACCAGTGGAAGGAACCACATACAGTACTGAGTATTGTTTCTGGAACTTCCAGAAACAATAAAACCTTTCAGTTTCATTCTCTGTCCTTCATTAACCTTTTAAGACTGTTCATCTGCTTTTTGCTGTTTCAGCTAATCCCACACCTGGATCTATGGCAACTGCCAGATTCCTAAACAGAAACATTTTCTTTTTTTTTTTCTATAGCAATATTGGGGCAAAATAAATCTCTAATTTGCTAAAATCAAATTTTTAAAAACTGATCATTTACTAGTATTTCCAAATACTATTACTCTGTAAAAAAGGCTTTAATACTTACGAAATGCTTTGTCTATTCTCCATCCATTTGTTTTCTCTTCACGTTTAAATTTATTCTGTTTAAAACAAAATTTTTTTCCATTAGTTAAATGAAATTATTTTTAAATAAGTCTTACATGAGCTCTTATAAACTGCATAAAACTGTAACTAAAGAATATATCTATTATTAGATACAAAATTTAAACCTTTCACTTTTAAATTAACTTTTAAACCTAATCAGGATGAAAGATTTATACTTTCCTGATTCTCCTTTTGATCAAAGGAATAAACCAGTTACGGAAGCTGGATTTACAGATGATAGAAAAAAATTAAGTCAACTACAATGGGGTGAAAAAAATCAAATCTTCAATCAATTAAGTTAATCAGCATTAACTTTATAAAAACCAATTTCAGAAATTAAACATTTTATATTCATTTTCATACATATTTTTAATGGCATGAAGCTCAGGCTGTAAGGAAACAATCTTTTTAAGAAGCAAAAATTTTATATCTTACAAATCTTCTATATATTTTAAGACACATTTTTTTCACACTTGCTTCACCACCAAAGATCCCTATGTTCAGTTTCAATCCAGGTTATCTCCATTAATATGCAGATAATTAAGGTTTAAGTCTTAACTCATCCTACAAGAATTACAAAGAATAAGGGCATAAATTTGTATTTGAAAATATATAACTACGAATAAACCTAACAGGAGAAAAAATAGTCAATCTCTCTCCTACAAACTTTTATTATAAAAACACACGCAAATTTAATTTGAAAAAACTGCACAGATAAGGGAAAAAAATCACACAAAAGAAATTAACTACTTCATGGCCCTCTTCTTTTCAAAAGTAACCATTAAGCTGAATTTTAAAGCACTTTTTTCTCTTGTTTTACTGTTGTACCATACAAATGTGCTTTACTGTTATACCATACAAATCTTCTTAAGAGTCTATATTTCAGTGTCACTCATATTTTTATGAGTCACTGATTTCACTTTTTTTAAAAAAAATTATTATTTTGTGTGTGCGTGTGTACTGTCAAATCAGATCTGACTGGTACAGGAGGAAACTGCTCCTCCTTCTCCAGCAGAGCATCTGGTGCTTTCAAACCACGTACTTCTGGGATTGCCGTGCAGCTTCTTGCCACTAGGCCACCAGAGCTCCCTTGATTTCACTTTTAACAACTTTTAAATACAGGCTCCCTGCCTCTCACTCTTATTTCCTTATTCTTTCTTAAAGAAACAAAAAACAAAATTTCTTATTTTGTGTGTGTGTGTACCGTCAAATCTGATCCAACTGGCACAGGAGGAGATTGCCCCTCTTCCTCCACCAGAGCATCTGGTGGATTCGAACTGTGCAACTCTGGGATTGCAGCGCTGCTTCTTGTCACTAGGCCACCAGAGCTCCTCTCCTTAATTATTCTTTATAACACCTACTACTATATAATGGAAAATTTTCAAAGATGACCGCATTTCTTCCTTAAAAGGTTATATATTCCGTAAATATTAGAAAAGTTAAGCAAGCAACAAATGTTGCCGAGGTTGTGGAGAAAGTGGAACCCTTGTTCACTGTTGGTGGGAGTGTAAAATGGAGCAACCACTGTGGAAAGCAGTGTGGTGCTTTCTCAAAAAGTTGCAAATAGAGATACCATTTGATCCAGCAATTCCACTACTGGGAATATACCCTAAAGAGACCATAACTGACATCCAAGCAGATATATGCACACCCATGTTCATCACGGCTTTGTTCACAATAGTAAGGAGTTGATAACAACCTAAGTGCCCATCAACAAACGAATGGATAGGGAAGCTGTGGTATATTCACACAATGGAGGACTTACTACACTGCATTGAAAAACAAGGAACTAATGCAATATTATTCAAAATGGGTGACCCTCGAGGACATTATGCTGAGTAAAATATCTCAGTCACAAAAGGACAAATACTGCATGGTGCCACTGTTGTAGAAAGTGACTGACATCAGGGTTGGCGTAAGACTGAGAAAAACTGGATAGATTACGTATACTGAATTGAAACAGACAAGGGAAAGAACAGTTTAAAAGTGACATATGGTATGGCCAAGCACAATCAATAAGAGTGCATCTAAATTCCAAAATCAATCTCCATAATAGTCTATGTGTTTCCTACTGCCAAAAGGGCCTTTTAGAGTAGTGAGAGAAGATCTTCACCCTGAAACCCACAGCGTCCCTTTTCAGCAGGAAGTAGCTAAGAGAATACCCCATCTCCTTTTCCTTATGAATCAGGGTGAAGTCTCTCTCAGGGAGGAGTGATAGGGAATGGCAAAGGACACAC